AGAAGCAGATATGGAGCAGTTTGCTTTCTACTGAGCCAATTGGAACAAAACTGTTATTTAATTGTCGCTACCGTGACACCTTTTCGGAGAGGCAAATAAGGTGATAGAGATATGACAACTCATTATCATATAACTGGCAATGTACAGTGTCTTTCCGCACGGAGAGAAATCAGGATCTCCTATTAAAAATTGCATTTATGTTGGTAACAAAGAGATCACTGGGAAAAAAGTGAAGGGAGAAACACTTCCATAACCTGTTACAATTGTGGTGGGTACGAAATGTACGTTTTTAAGCCGCAGCTCGTGCTACCAACATAATTTCTTTTGCCAAGGACCCTCACCAACAAGATGCCAACCACTGTAAAGAGACTTACATGGAGCGCTATATTAGGCCTCTATGAGACGCTATACTACGTTCTTGGTGTAAATCAGGAGTCCCGGCCTTGATAACAGCTTTTTGAAAACAAAACAACTGTAGAAACTGTTATTCCTTTTTTTTTACATATTTAAGGTCGCTTTTCGACTACGTAGGTCATATAGCGACCACTGTATGTCACATTGGGATAACAGAAACGGTATGTGGACATACAAATATCCATGACCCTGGATTTGACATCGCGATTCTTCAGGGACAAGACAGATACCGCCCTTCAGCCTTAGTTACCTCGGCTGTCCAGGCAAGCTGTTATTCTTTTATTTAGTTGGGACGAACCACAATCTCCCACAAACGTTTTACAACACTAACCTACGTTTATTCTTTTTCTAACGAATCTTGCCCTTTTTCTTCACACTATTTAGATATCTTCCCTTGTGAAACAACTTTCAAGATGGTAACCTTAAAAAATACCTTTTTTCATTCTTCGCGGTTCTTTTCAACTTCTTCCCTTGTTTTATGTTTCAAACTTACTTTGTTTCTGATTTTTTTACTTATTTTTAGTTCTCAATAGTGTATTGTATTGTATTGTATTGTTTCTTCTTTAGTTCATTCACAATTTCTCATTTTTAAGATAAAATATTGATTCGAGTAACGTTGTGTAGTTTCATTTCATATTCAAATTCTTGGATCAGACAACGCAGAATACTAGAACATCAGAAAAGTAATTTGGCTTTTGTCTGTCACGTTATTTAATGAGAGTAGAAGCAGAGGGAGTGTAGTTGCAGAATTAGGAGAGAATCCGCAAAATTTTGTATGAAGACAAGCAGACGGAGTGGAGTCGTTTGCCTCTTGGCTGTCCGGGAAGAACCTCTTAGCTGATGTCTTGACTTACTCGTCGCGGAAGCACGAGGCGTGCATAGGTATCTCAGGGTATCAATTGATGTCGCTGCAGTGCGTCTGACCGGGAGGTCTGGAGGTTATGGTTCCGACGATGGTAACATTTTCTACCTTAGCTACATAGCTAGGTCGCTTTCTGGTGGAGAATTCTAGCCGGCTTTTTAATCGCTAACTTTAACTGGTTTCCCCAATGGACAACAGGCAATTGCCGGAGCAATACCCCAACAAACATGCCATGAACCACGCGTAATCTTTCCTTTGCCCTCCCCACTCCTTACTTACACACATACTTACATTCACTACCCTACAACACATGCCGGGAGACCAGTCGGGAGCTTAGAGCGTGACCCGGCTGGGCCGGTTCCCCACTCGTGGGAGATACCTGGTAGACGAAAACTTCACACACCGACGTGGAGGACGACTCCGGATCTCGTCATCCTGCGGGGATAGATCACCGCCTCCTTCCGAGGGGAAAATATGCACTACACTCACGAGACTAATGACCTTCGCATTTGACACTCCCGAAATTACTACATCAATCAAGTGAGGCGTATGGATGACGCTTCGCCTGTGAGAAATTGAGGTGCATACGAGCCATCATATTGCGACTTTCTTCTTCTACTGAACTTCAAGGATTAGACATGTTACTGTTCTGTCCTCACGTAATTTCTTTCAATCTCTTGGCTTCCTGTATCTCTGCTAACTATTGGTTTATATTGGAACTGATAATACGAATTATCCATTCTTTGAACATGTTGTAGCGAACCTGTACTCCCATATTCTCTCCACTTTTTGTTTTTTTATATTCTTATTTCTAAATCTATATTCTCATGTGAAACATTTCGTTCTTCTTACAAACTTTCCGCGCTGTGTAATTGTGTGCGAGTTCTCGGTGTGGGGAACAAGGTCTCACTTTCGTAGACAGGGAGGGGGGTGGCCGTTGGTTTTTACAGTTTACATTTAGATTTATTCAGTCAAAAACAGTAAATCTGTATGCGACGTAGGAGGGAGAATATAAATATTTTTAGTTTTTTGTTTTATTCTTCAATGATCTGTGGGTTTTAAAACATATTATTTAAACAATAGACAGTGTATTAACAGTATCTTTCCCAATGTAGAAAAGTTAATAAATAAAACATGTAAATCAAGAATTGGTGTAAATCAAGAATCATAAATGAATCTTGTACACTAGCCATATCGTGTTGTGCTATAATGTGCTCATTATCCGACTTATCTCCCAAATAAACTAATACTTTAAAGTTGTACTTCCTCATTCCTCCTTAAGTATGTATGAACTGGCTAATTCGAGAATTGGCCATATTCAGACATTAACTGTAACATACACAATTGAATAGAGAATTTTTATGTGATGTAATAAAACCGATACCACTGGTCACTGGTAAATCCATACAGGAGCACGTCCAATATCAGTAGTGACTGCGAAAGGTAATATAGGAGAAAGGAGCTGAATAATGTCTACGATCAGCAACCTAACATGGCCGACTGCTAATCATGCTGAGAATTAAACAGATTCTGTTAACAGGGACTGTTAAACAGTTAAACCAGGCAAACCGAATAACGCGTGTCTAACTACCTTACGGCGGCGCTTATTTGCACTGCTTCCTCAAACATGTTTAGACAGAGAAACAGCTGGTATGAACGAAACTAAGAGACTGGAAGAACTATCAAGAAAGAATATTAATTAATAGAATATGAGTAGCAAATTTGTTAGGAATAATACTTAAATAACAGTAAATACTGATTCAGGTTCAGAATGCTAATATTCTTTCTAGTAGACAACTTGTGCATGAAAAACGGAAGATTGCTAAAAATAATGACCAAAGAGTATATATCAGAGACGGCACTCAATGTTAAAAGGAAAAGCCTTATTTGCCCAACTTCCG